ATGTCAGATGTTATTTGTGTAAAAGGAAGACAGGATCTTTTTGATCCATCCATATGGACACTTGTTTGTGCACAAAACATTTCTGGAAGGTGACACAGGTTCCTCCAGCAAGGGAAACTGTGAGCCTGTGGGAAGGTATCAGAGGAGGTCTTAGCACCTGCCACTGGCTCACTACTTAACTGGGTTTTTCAGTATGCTGGTGAATTCATTTGCAGGATTTTCATTCATTCCACATGGAGACAGGAGTGCATGTGATCAAGGTTCCCAGGCCCATGACCCCAAGCCTCAGTATCCTGGCCAGGGCTATGTCCAGACATGTGTTGTTGGGTCTACCAAAGGCCAACAGTGTGCCCAGAGAGACTAGTTTCTTCTAAGGATTGGTCTTCCCTGAGTTTAACTAAATCTTGTAAATGACTTTTTAGCTTGTTCACATCCTAGGGTAATTCCTCTCAGATTGATCCCCTATCTTGTTTTGTATGGAAGCTTTATTGAGATGTATGTAATTCATATAACATAAAAGCCACCCTTTTAAAGTTTATAATTCACTATATAAAAATGTATCACAGAGTTGTGTGGCCATTAACATTATCTAATTTTAGGACATTTTCATTGACCCACGACCAAAAATCCTACCTATTACCAGACACTACCTGTCCCCTACTCCTTCCCTCTGATAACCACTTATCTGCTTTCTGGCTCTATGGATTTTCCTATTCTGAACAGTGTGTATAAATGGAATCATACTATATGCAGTCTTTTGTGGCCAGCTTCTTTCTCTTAGAATGCTTTCAAGATTTATTTATGTTGTCACATATATCAATCATTCATCTTTATGGCTAAATAATATTCTACTGTATAAATATAGTATGAATATGTTTTATTTATTCATCAGTGGATAGACACTTGGATTGTTTTTCATCGTTTTAATTATTATAAAGAATGAACATTGTGTACAAGTTTTTTTTTAACACCTATTCTTATGGTTTACAACTAGATGTCCCCCAAGAGCTTCATTTGCTCATAGGCAGAGCTTTTGGAAAAATAATAGACCCTGAGGACACTATAGCTGACTTTCTGTTAAAAGGTCAGGCCTGGTTAGGGAAATGGGTCATTAGGGATGTGATCTGAAAGGGAGTATCTCCTTCCTTGATTCCTCCCTTCTCCCTCTGCTTTCTGCCCACAATCATGTGAGCAGCTTCTCTCCACCCAGGCCCTTCTGTCTTGCGGTTTCTGTTTTAGCCTGCTAAACATGGACTGACACTTTTGAAAAGTGAGCCAAAACAAACCTCTCCTCCTTTAAGTTGTGAGTGTTGGATGTTGAGTTCCAGTGCTGAAAAACGTGAATAGGACAGATTTTGGTACCAAGTATAGCAGAGTTGTTCCTGTGACTATACTTATCCATGTGGTTCAGAAGCCTGTGGTGCTGGTTCTTGGGAGAACTTTGGAAAGGTCTGAAGATGCCAACAGGAGAAGCCCTAAAATGCTGTAAGCCAAGATGGGAGATTTTGATTAGTGCTCAGAAGACCAAAATGCTGATAGAAATACAGACACTAAAAGTGAAGTTCAGGAGGTTTCAGTTGGGGGCAAGGATTCTATTGGTAGTTGGATTCAAGAACATGTGTATTAGATGCTCACACAAAAAACAAATTGTCTACATTTTGCCCCTGAGACTTTGTAGAGACTAAAATAAAGGGTGGTGGGCCAATTAATCTGGTGGAGGAAATTTCAAAGCAGCCCAATCATCGGGTATGAGTAATTCTTGCTATTTTTAGCCAGGCTTATATTTAAAATAAAGAGCAAAACCCCATTTAAAAATTTTTCACTTTCTCTACTAAGGAAAAGGCTGCGCAGTTTTATCCAAGGAGAGATTGGTTGCTGAATGGATTTGAATTAAAGAAAAACTAAGTATTGTTCAACAGGACAATAACAAAGATTCCTTGCTGGCATGTCAGGAATCGGCAAGACCCCTCCCTTTGTGGGCTCAATGGTGAAACTTATAAAGCTTTCATTTGAAAAGAGAGCCCCAGGGGACCCAGCTCATTCAGGGCCAACTAGGAATGACTTTCATAGAGTTGATTCTGCTGCAGCCATGATCCAAGGGGGCCTACTACTGCTTATACTGGTGGTAGATCTTGGCATCCTCCACATGGGGCTGACTTTACAGGCATGCAGAGTGCAAGAATTGAGGGTTCACTAAGGCTTTCACCAAGATTTTAGAAAAATGCTTGGAACTTTAGACAAGTGTGCCCCTGAGAGGGCAGTGCATGAAGTTGTGAGAGTAAAGCCAAAAGTGCAGTGGAGAAGTGCAGTACAGGATGTAGAAGAAGACAGGAACATGGAATGTCTGCTGAGGAAGGTCACAGGCAATGAGCAGAGTCTACCTGAGAGAGGCCATGGGGGCTACAGCAGCAGTGCCTTAGAGGCAGAGCTGCCCAAGCCATTTGGAGTTTGCATCTTGCCACAACTGGCCTCAGGTGCTGGGCATGGAGCTATAGAATTTAATGTTTGCCCTGCTAGGTTTCAGTCTTGCTTTTGCCCCATTCCTTTCTATCCCCTCATTCCTACATTTTGGAATGGGAATGTTTACCCTGTGCCATTGTATGCCAGCAGTGTTTATCTTTCTTTTTTATTTTTACAGGAGCTCGTAGCTAAGAGTTTGCCTTAAGTCTCAGAGGACACCTTGGACTTTGACTTTTCAGCATTGCTGAAACTGTTAGAGTTCAACTAAATACATTTTGCATAAAGGGATATGTTTCATCTTAGGCACCAGGAGCAGAATGTTATGGTTTATATCTAGATATCCTTGAAGAGCTTCATGCCCTCATAGGTAGCATTTTTGGAAGAAGCCTGGATCATGGGGGTGCAATAACTGACTTGCTGATAGGAGCTGGGGCCTGCTCAGGGGAGCCAGGTCACTGAGCTTGACCTGGAAAGATGTATCTGCTCCCAGGCTCCTCGCTTCTCTCCCCACTTCCTGGCCACCATGATATGAGCAGCTTTCTTCCGACAGGCCCTTCTGTTATGCAGTTTCTGTGTTTGAGTCTGCTAAACATTGACTGGAACTTCTGAAATGTGAGCCAAACTAAAGCTCTCTTCTTTTAAGTTATGGGTATCATATTGTGTCTATTGACATGGAAAGCAACTAAGGCACTATTTTTGGTTTTGAAGGTATAAACAAGAATTGTCAGGTCATGTGATAATACTGTGTTTAACCTTTTGAGGAACTGGAGCTGCACCATTTTATGTTCTACATACACATGTTCCAGTATCTCCATATCCCCAACAACACTTACTATTTTGTTTTTTAAATCATTTCTTTGCAATTTTGATTTACGTTTCTGTGAGAGCTAATGATGTTGAGTACTATTTCATATACTTAGTGCCCATTTGTGTTTCTTCTTTGGAAAGAGACCTATTCAAATACTTTGCCCATCTTTAAAATTGAGCCACTGTTTTAAATTGTTGAGTTGTAAGAGTTCGGAATATGTTTTGGATACAAGTCCTTTATCAAACATGTGACTTGCAATTGTTTTCTTCCGTTCTGTAAAGTCTGAATGTGTTAGCTGGCCTTCCATCGTTGTTAAAATAATACCTGCAATCATCAACTTAAAAGGAGGAAAGATCTGTTTTGACTCACTGTTTCAAAAGTATTATTATAGCTTTTCTCTCATCTCTGTGTCTTTCTTGCAAAATATCTATGGTTTATCTTAAGATTCCCCCAAATTTGTAGAAGGCTTTTGGAAAGTCAGTTTATCAGTTCTCTGAAAACTGATTGTGCATGGGAATTCATGCATGTTCCTGGGCCCCAGCCATTCTGTACCCTTGACCTGGGTCAGGGCAAAAAGTACACTTGGAAAACAAAACACATGTGAATCTTTGTCATTTTTTTAAAATTTTTATTGAGCTTATTGGTACAATCTAGGTATACAGTACAGTTACATTTATCATTGGGATCTTGTACCTTTACATGACAGGTCTTGGTTCTCATTTTTTCCTCTTGTCCCTGCCCTCCCTTCACCCCCTCCTCCCCTCCCCATTTACAAACACTTTAATTCCATTTTTTCAGCTTCTCATATTTTTTTCTCTCCCTTATTACCTTTCCCCCACCCTTCCCACTTTCCCTATACCTTTAACCCTTTACTTCCTATTTCACATTATTAATTATCTCATTAGGATCCTGTGTACTATTATAGTTTTCCACACCAGAGAAACTATTCAGTATTTCAGTTAAAGAAATCTCTATATGAACATTAAAAATAGGGAATCCTAAAATAAAACTAAAAAGGAAAGTAAAAGAGAAAAGGCAATGATGTAAAATTAAAATAATCCTTAATTCTGAAGATGAAAATGGTCCTTGAACATATTTAAGTTGCTTCTTGCTCTTGTAGTCTTATTCTCTTTGTCATTTCATTCAGTCCTAGAACTGGAAAAATAATCAAAATAATTAAAAATGGAAATACCCTCACTATGGGTCTGTGGTGTCTACATGTAAAAATGTATTAACAAGACTGTGTCAGGGCTTAGGGCTTAGCTTAGTGGCACCATGCCTGCCTCACAAGCCCAAGAACCTGAGTTTGATCCCTGGTACAGAAAAAAAAAAAAAAAAAAAAAAAAAAAAAGAGGGTGTAATCACTGGTAGGACATTCAGGAAAAGAGATTAACACTAGAAAGTGGAGTCAGACCAAGCAGGAGGGAAGGGAGAAGTCTCAGGATGCCTCGGGATAGCAAATGCCGTGAGCAGACAGGACGTGCCTGAGCCCCAGAGGAGAAAAGGCTGCCCAGAGTTAGGGTGCCTTGTGGCTGTGAGAGGCCCTTGGCAGGTCCTCTGCCTTGGGATCCAGGTACCTGGGGCCAGTACTTCTCAGCATGAAGGCAGGAAAGGTATAGCCAGGCTGTGGAGGAAGCCTGGTGCTCAGGGCAGTGTGGTGTCAGCCTGTGAGGCCTGAGGTGACTCTGCAGGCTGTGATCTGAGGTGGTTGTCTGTTCTTTTGTCCTCACAGAGCAGGCCAAGATGGAGGTGGCCCCCTCCTTCTCCAGTGTCCTGAAGGACTGCACTGTCGTTGAAGGCCAGGATTTTGTGCTGCAGTGCTCTGTGCAGGGGAACCCAGTACCCCAAATCACTTGGCTACTCAATGGTGAGTCCCCCACCTTGCCCTAGCCCCTAAGGCCTTGAATTCTCAAATCTCACTCCAAACCAGGTACACCTCAGAAGCTGGAGAAAACTCTGTTAAGATTTAGGAGAAAACACAGGAATTAAATCTGCTGCCAACTGGCTTAACCTGTTTGCAACCTGCCAGAGCCTTGTATGTTTCATCTGCATGGTGGCAGTACTGCTCATGACCTTGCAGGGTGGTGACTGCGATCAAATTATATAAAGTGGTCCACGAGATGCCTGAGGTATAGATACATGAGCAATTTAATGGCTTTTCCTTTGGTTAGACTCATAACAGGACCTCAATAAATATTTGTTGAGACAGTACTTAAACATATAAGTGAACAAACTAATGAGCTACACTAGGAGTCGTTCAAGGAATCTTGCCTTTTATTTAATGGCAGATGCTTCAGAGTGTCACAGACTAGTAATTCTTTTTTATGTTAATTAAAATCCTATAAAGATGTGGTGATGTTTCTTTGGTTTTTAGCCAAATAAGGTCCTTTGAAAAAATTAAGTACCAAGTATTATTGCCCTTCTCTTTTTAAAAAAGCCTTTCAATTTCAAAAGTATAGGACAATTCTGATTTGATAACAGAACAGTCCATTCAATGGATGAGACTGGGTAGGGCCAAAGAGAGGATAGACAAGTGTCCACTGGGAGTCAGGAGGCCTGGATGCTGGTCCTTCTCCACCACTGAGCAGTAAACAGGGGGCCCAGGGCACCCCCTTTGTCTCTAGTATTTGGTGGGGAATGGGAGAGAGAAGGTTCAGGATCTCAGCCAGCTTTCATGTTGATAAAATAGGCTTCTAGCGGGCAGCAGTAATGACCTGTGTGCCACAGCTCCCCGGGTTGCCTGTGAACTTTCCGTGTTGATGTGGTCTGCTCGGGCTCTGAGTGGGAGGAGATGCTGTGTACTCTTCCCTTGTAGCCATCGTGGGTAGATACGTGAGGTCTGTCTTCCCTCCACACCTCACAGAAGGACCAAACTCCTGTGGGGCCCTGGGGTTCCTGCAGCTGCCACCACCTCCTCCATGAGCAAGAGCCGGATATGGACACCAGGACTAATTGTGAACCTGAAGAAGAGTTTCCCATCTGGTTCAGGGCTTCCCTGTCTGGCTCAGACTCTAGAGGAGCGGTGGTGAATCTAACTATTCAGCTCCACTGTCACAGCCTGAAAACAGCATTACCAGTATTTGAATGAATGGATGTGGCCATGTTGTAATAAAGCTCTATTTATGATGGCTGAAATGTAAATTCTGTGTAGTTTTCACGACATGAAATTTTTCTCCTTTCACTTTTTTCCACTGTTTGAAATATGTAAAAATTATTCTTAGCTGGTGGGCTCTGCAGGAACAGGCCACAGGTCAGAGTCGGTCCTAGGGCTGTGGTGTAGGACACCCCTCAGGGCTGAATCCTTGGTAGAGCTTGGTATTTCTGCACCCTTCCCTCTAGAGGGCGATCATGCTCAAGTTGGATTTCCTTGGCTTCAACTCTGGCCCCACCCAGTCTCCATGCTTGAAGGTGTTTCCAGACTCCCAGCTCTGAAGTGCCCTGAGCCCACAGCTCGTTTTTTGTGGGCCTCCATTCCATCCCGGTTTGTGAAGCTGAAATGAGTTGCACTCCAATAAGTGGAGAGCTCTCACAGAGCTTGTCAGTGCCTGTCTGGATGGCAGAGGCTCATTGCTGACAGCCAGGGAATGTTCTGGTGATTTCAGGTATGAGGTTTTGGGGTTGTCACTGTCACAGAGAATAAAGGCAAAGAGCAGTATTCGGGCCCTTTGGTAGCAGGATCCTGGCCCCTGCCTTGTGCCACCCAGCTTCATTTTATGGAGTGCGGAGGGTTGGGGAGTCCATCTTCTTCCAGCCTGAGACTGGCTGCCTCCTTGCCAAACTGTCGTGGAGACAAGAGGTGTTGCTATGTGCAGAAGAAAACACTGTATTGCAGGGAAAGCCTTTCTTTCTGTACTGTCTCCCTCCCCATCATCCACCCCTGATTTTATGAGGTGCAAACCAGGACCGCAGGGCCTGGCAAGGGAAGGAACTGACAGTTGCTTCCTATATGGCAAATGGACACATTCCTCCTCTAATGCCAGAGTCTTCAGGAATGAGGTCATTTTTTCCCCCTAGAAATAAGAGGTCATGTCCTGGAGTGATAAAATCTCAGGAACATTAAGGAAACTACTAAAGTTCTCTGTAAGCATTTCTAGCTCCACGCAGGACTTTTTTAAGATTGAGGACTTCTCATAGAAGACCGGTCATTTTTAGTTCCCCATAGTTATCTTTTCCATGAATGCTGAGATGCACCTAACTGCACAGGAGAAATAAACCTAATTGCAACACTAGGGTGGGTGTGCACAGTTGCTTTCTGATAAATACCTACAATGGGAAAGGTAGTCTTTGTTTCTGGAAACATCTAAAAGGAGCTGGGAGCCACATGTTCAGTCTGGGCAAAGTCTGCTTCGCCAGAGCCTGGGCCGTGGGCCAAATGACCCTGTAAGATTCTTTCCAGGCACTGAATTCTGTGAAGTTGAGGACACGGAATGGAGACTATTTACTTAACACAGATTGCCCAGATCTGTGTCTCTTTCCCACCTGCCTTCCAGATTCCTCCAGAATCTTTTCCCTCCATGTTTCCAGGCCTAGTCTTGGCCCCATGGACCTGGGCCAGACCTAACGTCGTGACAGTGTCAGCCCTGCTGAGGACAGGGCTCCCGTCCCATCCCATGAACTGCCCACCTCAGCCTGCCTGTGCTTCCCTCCCAGGTCAGCCCATCCAGTATGCGCACTCCATATGCCAGGCTGGCGTGGCTGAGCTCCGCATTCAGGACACCCTGCCAGAGGATGACGGTGTCTATACCTGTCTGGCTAAGAACACCTCGGGGCAAGCGTCCTGCAGCGCCAGGGTCACCGTCCATGGTAAGAACCCCCAGGCACCTTGCTAAAAGCACCTTACCTGCAGACAGGTTCAGCTGCTCTGGAGAAAGGACATTTGTTAAAAATGGTGCTGCCGGCTCAAATCCAGGGAGCAGAGGGGCACATGGCACTGCTCCAGGCCACTGCTGACTGGTGCTGCTGCTGGAGGAGGGGCTGCAGGAACCTCCTGAGGACAGAGGAGAGGAGCCTTAGAAAGCCTGTATCTGCCAGGAATTTACACTGACAGGGGTCTGCCATGGAGGGAGCCAGTCCCCGATCCTTTACCCCACCAGGGCCCTAGGAAATGCAGGGGCAAGAGGCAAGGGATGGCACTGGGGATTTAGCTCAGTGGTTCCACCACTTGCCTTGCAAGCAGACGGTCCTGGCTTTGATCCCCGATATCAAAAAAAAAACATTATTAAAGAGGCAAGGGATGCTGGCCCCCAAACTCCTGGCCTGTTTGGAAGAAAACCACCCACTCTGCAAGAAGACTTAGGAGGAGGGTCTCACAAATGACCAGCTGTGCACTGGGAACAGACTACGGGTACTGAGGCTTCTGTAAGGCAGCAGGTTGCCCGCTTCTTCTGCCCTTGCTCCTCCCACCACACCCCGCTGGCTTTTCTCCATCACCAGCCTGGTGCCCACTAGTCTGATTATCACAGGCATCCATCCATTGGTCAGCCAAGCACTTAGTCCCCGGGAGTCAGAGGAGCCACAGACTCTAGGTTGATTCACCTGGGTTGTGGGACTGGCGTGCACCGCAGCAGTTCCTGGGGAGGTGCTTCCTGGGGCTGAGCCTTCAGGTGAGCCCGATTCTCACCTTCACCTTGGGTCTGGCACCCCAGTGCCTGACCATGACTGGGTCCTCTGGTGCTCGGACAGGGTGCAGTGTGTCTGCTTTCCCATTGGGCTAACAGGAGACCACACCTCCTATCTTTGTCCCCACCACCTCAGGCCTCTCAAGAGATCTCTGCAGGGGGAGCAGCCACCTTCCAGGAGCTACAGGAGATGGCTTCTCAGAAAGGAAAAGGGGCACAGCCCACTGTTTGACCTCTCCCATGTCGCCTTCTGGGGCCCTCCGCAGCTCAGTGTGGGAGTGCTGTCTTCACTGTACACAGAAGGATCTAGAGATGTCATGAAGTCAGTGACACCCATGCCACACTGACGGCAAAGCAAGCCTTCTGAGCCCAGGATGGTGACACCCAGGCTCATCCTGTGGCTGCCCCTTTCAGAGTGCGTCTCACTGGCTCACAGTGAGAGGTGACCACTGTGGGCTGGGCCCCATCCACCCCTTAGGGACAGAGGAGCTGGCACCAATGCAGAATGTGGCTCACACTGGCTCCCTGCTGGGAGTAGACCCACACTTCTCTGAAGGGGGTGCCCTGGCATGGAGTCCTCAGTGAACCAGCCTGCCCTTTCCTTCCAGGAAGCCCTGCATGCTCCAGCTAGAGACACACTGGCCCCTGGGAGTTCCTCAGCCAGGGTTCTGGTGTGCATGCTTATCCCATTATCCTCAGTTCTAATTCCACGGCTTGGGGGCCTCGGGAGACTGTGCTGCAGAACTTCTGAGGAAGAAAGAACAGCTCAGAGCCTGGTCTCCTTGGGCCAAGGGAGAAACTATCCCCTCCCCTTCCCAGCAGCGGTTCCTTCTCTGAAGTCCCCCTCCACCCCCAAGTTGGGATGCGAATGGCACAGGGCCACCCGGGCTGTGCAGCTCTGCCTTCTTTCTGATGCTTCCTTGCCAGGTCCCACCTGCCAGGACTGCAGCTAAACCAGCACCTGCCTTGAGTTGTCTTTGCTTAGAGTGGATTAGACAGAGCCAGCTGAGCTAATCATGGAGCTGGGGGGTGAGTGATCGAGACCTCTCTGGGGCTATTCTCCTGAGTCCTGGGGTGACTGATCGCCTGTGCAGGTGTGTTGGAAAGCAGGAGAGAGGCCTCAGCAAGAACCCTGCCAGACTCGGGTTTTGCTCTTTAGAAGCCTGCAATCGTGAGCGCCCTCTTTGTGTGAGGGATTTATGGCCTGCCAAGGCCAGACGGGCTCAGATACCATAAATGGTGAACAGGGCTGGGAGATGCAGCTGCACTCAGGCCCAGCTGCATCTGGGCTGCCGCTGCCCAGGGTTGGCAGGGAGGCCTGGAACGGACACCCCTGGCACCTTGCCCAGGCCCTTGGCAGGCTCGCATCTGTCCCGCACCATCTTCAGCTGTGGAGTTTTTCTTGCCATCTTGGCTGCTTTTCTGGCTCCAGGCGGGTGGGGGCGCTGATAGGGACATTGTATCCGATTGCCCTCCGGCTGCCCCAGCAGGGTACCTGAAGGTAGAGGCACTGGTTGGTGTGAGTCCTGCCGACTTCTTTCAAGCTCAGCCCCCTGGAGTCACTCCCAGGCCTCACCTCCTCTTCTGTGAGGTGGGGATGCAGAGAGACCTCTCAGTAATGTTACTGTTAAAGGAATGAGTGAAATTGCAGTGTTCCCCAAACGAGGAAGCGCTCAGCTGGTATGTTCTGCTATTATGATGTCTGCCCAACTTTTACACAGGATAAAATATACTGGGGCATGCTTTTACCCAAGGATCGACTTGTTATAGCACTGTTCAGCAAAAGAGCAAATCCAGGAGGGGAGATTGGAGATCGACCTAGTCAGACTGCCGTGCTGAAGTCCAAGGCTCTGATCACAAGATGGCGCCGTTCAGCAATGCATGGCGCTCTGGTCTACCCTGCCGAGGACTGTCTGTAGGGACAGTTCTCGGAGGACTGAATCCAACAGTTCAGCAGACACAGGGACTCCTTCTCACCTCTTTAGCCTTTCCCCAAGATTTTGCAATCATCCAGAACACCAGCCCCGCCTCCCCTATCCATCCCTCTCTCCCCAGCTGACTCTCACAATGTCCCTTTCTCTGGGATGCCTTCCTTCAACACCTCAGAATCAGTTCTGCTAACACCCTGGACTTCCCTTAATGCATTCACTACCAACAAATCTTTGTTGAGCACCTGTATTTATTTGTGTGAGGCAGTGTTCTGAGAAACCACAGTGCACAGGTATTAGAGCTCATGAACAGGGCAGCAGTTGGCACCGGCTTTAACTGCACATGCTGACAAGTTCTACTGAGAAGATGAGCAAGATGAGAACAGAGAGGGGCAGAAGGGGCATATGCTTAGTTTTTTATAAAGGAAGACTCAGAGACTGAAGAGCTGCAGGAAAGAGTGTTCTAGGTAAGATGTATAGTAAGTGCAAAGGCCCTGAGGCAGGGACAAGTCTGACTGATTCCCGGAACAGCAAGATAGCCAGTGTGGCAGGCAGGCATGATCATGCAGGGCTCTAGGGATCAGAAAAGGACATTTTATTTAGGAATCTGTCTGCAATTGATTGCTTCACTGCTGTAATCTCCCTGCAGGAAGGTCTGCGTCTTTCACACTATTGTGTGTAGAGCAGGGCCTGCTATGTAAGTGTGTGTTCAGGGTGGACTGAAGGGACACCAGTGGTTGGGCAAGTGCCCCCCCTTGGCAGGTGGGCAGTCCCTCAACTTTCTGTCCTGCTACTAGCTCTTAAGAACCTCTCAACAAATACACCTTCTCTCCTACCTCAGGCAGGGAAGAAAAGATCCCCAGAACTAACCAGGCAATGAGTATTCCCTCCTGGCCCAAGACAGAGCATCTCAGATGAGGACTCCAAATTCCTGCAGAGCCAAAGAGGATCTGAGCCATCTTATATAAGTCACTATATTTGGACTGAGTCACTAGGAGGGACTTCCTTGGGCTAGAATATTTTAAATCTATTTTCCCTCAGGGTGACTTTGTCAGGGCTAGAATTCTTAAGTGACTAGATTTATTAATGGTCTGCTAATTGTGCTCATTTTGCCCTAGTTCCTAATCCTAATGGTTTGTGTATTTAACTGGCAGCCTTCTGGGGCCTGTTAGAGGCACCGAAGGACAGATGATATGGGTAAGTTAAAAAGAAAAGAAAAAGCTGATCTCTTGAATAAAAAATAAAAATAAAGGTTCATTTACCAGGGTGTTTGTTTAATGAGGAGCCCTAAGGAAGACAAAGGCCCTAGGGGAGGCGGCCATGCACTCCACAATGAAAATGTCAGAGACAGTTTCCTTTCAGAGCAACACCAGACACTCTGAGGCCCCTCGGCGCTCCCCACGCTGTGTGCAGGTCCTGAGGACACTGCACGGTCTGTCCAGCTGCCTGGCCTCCGCCCTCTGTGAGCTCTGGGACACCGATAACTTGTTACATGATTATGTTGTTTAAAGAGAAATTTACTGAGGAAGGGTAAACATTGATGTTTTTTTTAACTTGCCTTTAAAAAAAATACATTAAGAAAGTTAGTCTACCCCAATACATCTGCTCTTGAGCCTTTTAAACTCTTAAAAAAGATAAGCAATTAATAAAATGTCAAGCCTACGTATAAACGATATCTTAGTTTTATATAGGTGGAGTGTAGAGTAGGATTTGTATAGCAGGTGGGTCCTTCATGTTCCAGAGACATGCATGGGTGTGGACTTGTATATCTGTCCATACGTGTATCATGGATCAGGAGGCTCGCTGTACTAAGTGGACAATTATAGAGGCGTCTCTCTACTTCTGCAGCCCATAGCAGTTCATGTCTATCATTTCCTTGCTTGGAGACCTTGGTTAAGAATAAAATCCAGAAAAAAAAAAAAAGAATGAAACCCTGATCAAAGATTTGTGCTCCCAGTAGCAAAATGTGGCCCAGCTTGTGACACTGTGATGAGGAGTGGGTGGTTTGGATGCTATACGTTCTGCTTGGTGTGGGTTTATGCCTTCCAAGCTGGTAAGAAGGCTGTGGTTGCAGCAATCCCTGTCTCCCTTCTAGCCGCCCCATCATTACTGGTTAGAGGTCTTTGGGAGAAATGTCATACGTCGTGTTCCTTTCGTTCTCCTCCTCCTCGCGTGCTTCTCCCATTTGCTTCTTAGCTTCTGGAGAAATTGGTGGGAGGAAGGAAGTCCACGAGAAAGCAGGGCTGTTGGAGGAAGA